ATGATTTTCATGTGGTGGCATGGAGCCTGCAGATGGCACAGAGCAGAAGAGCCTTCATTCCTGTTGCTGTGCTGGTGCAGGGTGCTCTGGAACAGAGGATGACCTAAGCTTTTGAAAGCACTTTTTTGTACTTCCATCTAACATGGCTGCCTGACTGTGTCATGAAGTGGGATTTCAAAGAGGCTAATTGAAATACTTTGCATGTTACTGTTTGTTATTTAGTCCAGCTTGCACAAAGGTAATGAGCAAGAATTAAGACTGCAGTAATAAGAATTTCCAAGAAGAAATATATTTCAATGTTACTTCAATGATTAATATTGTTAAAAGTAATGGCTGTTCCTCTGTGGCAGCTATTTTTTTACTTTTCAATGAAAATGTTTGGAAGTACACAATAATGCTTTAAAGTATTATAACACTGTTTTTATGAGCAATTGTCTGAAAAAGATCAAATGTTGAGTTTAAATTAATTTACAAATTAACTTATTAAAGTTTTCAGAACATTTTCAATATAAAGTGTAACTAGGACTTTTAAAAATTTTTTAAAATTTTTAAACTTTGGGTTTATTTTGGGGATGGAAAGAATCTGATTTCAGGCTTTTTTTTAGGAAATATCTTCTAAAATTATTTTTCACTCAAATAAAATACTGCATGAGACTTCAAAAGACATTTGACAAAACTGTGTTTAACCCCTTAGATTTCCTTAAGACTTTCTGTGCCTGGTTGTTATCCCAGTAACTAGATCTTTTATGTTTTGCAGTGTGATTGTAGTAGAATTTGAACAGGCCTGAGACCTAATATATCGCCCATTGAAGTCATACGAACCACCCCACTAACTCTGGTGGACTTCATTTCAACATCTAAATAATCTGTTGTACCAGGTTAAAGTTGCATGATCTGGTTTTGTCCATAGGTAATAGGTGGAAGGTACTATTTTTTACATTCATTGTTTGTGCTGTGGTAATTTTAATCGTGAATTTTAATAGGCAGCCAAATCCCAATATGCAAGACAGTGCTGTGCAAGCATGTGACATGATAAAAATATAACTTTTAAACAGAATTTTTACTCACATGAGTTACACAACTGAGTTAATGTGAGGGAAGGGTAAGCATGTGAATATTCCTAAAAGCTCAGTAATGATCAGGTTCCTGAGCCAGCATATTACATACATGCACAGAGACAACAAACATGGGCAAGGAATTAAAAACATGGTTTACATCTTTTGAATTTGGCTGATACATTAGATTTTATAATTTGAAGACGCTGCTTGCATAAAAACTTGAGGAATGATAGACTGGATAAAGCTGTAATGATAATACCCAGATTTTAAGATTTATAGCTAAGAAATTGCCCTTTTTGCACCTTATGTAAATATAATGCATTTATTTCTGTACTTGATTAAAAGGACTGATATTTCAGGAAAATTTATTCCAGTCATCAAAACTCTTGAATTTTTTATATGATTGGAACATTTAATATTTTTGTTATAGCTCAAGAACTGGAAATGTAGGAAATTTTGAATTAGACTTTCTATAAAACTGCTAAGAATAGTTTTATATAAAAAATTAACTATTAAGCAGTGTTTCTGAAGTACTGACATTAAACTCCTTTTGCATGAAATAGGTTGGACTGTGGCATTTAGGGAGAACTTTGCAAGAGTTTTGTGGTGAAAACTCTGAAGAAAGCTTAGTATGATATGCTCAAGTAACTTTGAAAGTGACTAAATAAGTTCTATTAATACATAGACTTTGTTGGATGTAAAATGGTAACTCAGTAATTATATTGCTTGAGAATATGCATCACCTATCTAGAATTACTTAAATTGGCATCCCAGTTAAATTAGGGCACAGATAGTCTCAACTGTGACTGTCGAGATGTAACTTTGCTCTCGCCATTTCTAAAGAGCTGCTTATGTAATTCATCTGTCATATTAAAGGCAGTTCTTGTGTCAATATTAAATCTCACCTGCATGTCTGAATTCAGTGCTGTGTCCTTTTGACTCATGTCATCACCAGTAATGCAGCATCTGCAACAGGAATTTAGCCAATAACAGCTGATGACAGAAGTTTCAGAATAAAACCCGTCTTACTTTCCCAACAAGTATTAACTCCTGCACTGTCAATTAGGCCAGTTCTGCACTTGGAACTGAACCAGTGCATCTGTTCATGATGCATACACAGAATCCAGCTAATTTTCAGCTATAATGGCTATGGCTGCATAGAAAATAAGAAAAAAGTGAGGGTTTTTTTTTTTTTTTTGTTTTGGTCCTCCTCTCTCCCTCTTTCCTCCTTTCCCATAATATAATCAAACTTGGGATTTTGTTTTCTTGTCTGTTTTTCACAAATAATTGATCTGTTAAGAAAGATACTGTTTTGCTTTTTTTTTTTTACTTGCATCCATCACTTTAACGATACATCTGGCCTAGATGTTTCCTGACAATATCATGGAGTGAATGGTGAAATAAGCAAGAAAACTGATTACCAGACTACTGATTTCCAGATCTTTGAACTAATTTCTGCCTCTCCTTATTAAGTTGATTTTAGTACTGCTTATCTATTAGTATTACCTGTAAAGGTTATTTTCTTTCCCTGATGTAAAAAGACCCCAGACTTGTAGAGGAGTGTACATATATTATTCATAAGCATGTACAGGATGCTAAAAAATGCCGAAGAGAGGCCATATAGAGAAACACAGCAGGAATATTGACATGGTCAGAAAAGTGATCTAGCACACAGTGCTAGTGGTCTGCTTGTGATGGCAAGATGCTGGCCAGATTTACAGCTGGTGGCTCTGTGCCTTGTGCTGCTTTTGTAGTCATGACATTTATACATTAAAAAGTAAGTTTACGGAGGATAACTTTCATTTCAGTCATGTAAAGCTTTGTGTAAATGCAAGTGGAACAAGCTTTTCCAGGATGCTGTGAGCTTTTTCATAACCTGGCCCTTTTGCTTGCTTTTATTGGTGTATGAGAAGGCAGAGGGGCTTGGAAGCAGACACCTGTGGGTGGATAGGAACTCATCCTGGAGAAAAAGGCATCAGCTCCTTTCCTCCCTCAGCGTCTCCGGAAGAAGGTACTTTGCATCGTATTTTTGGAAAAGGGAGGCCTCGTGTGGTCAGTGGTGAGAACAGCTGTTAGGCAAACCAGGACTGTAAACACGGGCATCGTGGTAGTATTTCATAGCAATACTGATGGCTGGATTGAAGCACCCGAGTATGGTTTCAACTGTTCTGTTACTGAACAGCTATCAGCTGGCATTAGTGAGCAGTCTCTCATCATGCCTCTCAGATTATTTTGGTTTGTGACTCTGTCTGGAATTAGACTCTGGAGAAGGCACAGGGCTGCTTGTGTGCCCACTCATTTGAATAGTGCAAGGCTGGAAGTTGTCTCTTTGTTTCTTCTCATTTGATTTACATGATTTGTCCATTACCTTGTTTCTTTCTTAGTGACTTAAATCCACTCCCTTGCTTAATTAGTCAAAATTCCCCCTAAAATCAAATGTACTTGTTATTGGATGTAGCTCTTGATATACGAGGTTCAGGTCTTAAGGCTATTAATGGTGGGATCTATCTGGTATTATAGAAATTGCCTGTGGGAGTGGGTTGCCAGATTCACGTGAAGTAGCTGCCTTTATTGTGAACTAAGCAGTCAGGATGAAGGGAACAGTATTCCGGACTCTGTAATCTAACTATGGTTTTAGTTTCCTCATCTCCCCAGTACAGCAATAGTGTGTGACAGAGCTACTATCAGTGATTGCATCCTCTAAACTACTGACCCCACCTGGAGTACTGTGTTCAGCTCTGGGGCCTCAGCATAATGAAGACATGGACCTGCTCAAGTGGGTCCAGAGTATGGCCAAGAAGATAGAGGGCTGGAGCACCTGTCCTATGGGGACAGACTGAGAGAGATGGGTTTGTTCAGTCTGGAGAAAAGAAGGTTCTGGGAATACCTTGTAGTGGCATTCCAGTACTTAAAGGGGAGCTACAGAAAAGATGGGGGAAGGCTCCTTGTCAGAGAGTGTGGTAATAGGATAAGGGGTTATGGATTTAAACTGAAAGAGCGTAGATACAGATATTAGGAAAAAATTCTTCCCTGTGAGGGTGGTAAGGCACTGGCACAGGTTGCCCAGAGAAGCTGTGGCTGCCCCATCCCTGGCAGTGTTCAAGGCCAGGTTCAATGGGGCTTTGAGTAACCTGATGTAGTGGAAGGTGTCCCTGCCTGTGGCAGGGGGTTGGAACTATATATGATCATTAAGGTTCCTTCCAACCCAAACCATTGTGTGATTCTCTAATCTCCTGGGTGAGATACAGAGGAAGCTTTTTCTGACAACGGAAGCTAGTGTGTGTTACCAGATCCTTCTAGAACTTTTTTACACAGAAAAAAAATAAATCCCCCAAACAATAGCAAACAAACGACACTCCTCTGCCCTGAAAAAACAGAAAAAACAAACAAAAAACCCAAACCCAAATCCTGCTTGCAAAACTGTTCAAATTTCTATTTTTGTCTAGAAAAAAAATAATTGAGAAGCCTTGTTTCTTGAGATTGAAAGAACACGGGGGCGGGGAGGGGGGCTAAAGAAGTGTGTATTATTCTAGAGCTTTATTTCTTATTGCTATAACTTAAGGGTATTTTGCAGGAGACTGTTTGTTCAGGATGTCTTCTGGTAATTCTTATATTTTTTCCCCAAGTGCGTGATGCCAGTGTCCCTGAAATTCACAGTGGAAATACTTGTTCGAGAGAGAGGGAGGGGGGGGAGGGGGGAGGGGGGAAGATAAAACCAATACAGAGGAAATGCCGCAATGTGACCTTTTTACCGGCGCATCCACACTTCCGCGCTGCCCTAAGGGGATGCTGTGGATGGTTTTGCAGGCGGCTGGCCCTTAGAAAGGGCCGTCCTCCGAGCAGCGAGGAGAAAGAACGGGATTCCCCTACCCCCCGGCTATACCCGCTTGTTTTCATAGCCAAAAGCCAGCCGAGGCGGGGCAGACGCAGGCCTCCTGCTCCGCCCGGCACAGCGCAGTGAAGCGCATCTCGCCGTGTCGCGCCGCGCCGCACCGCCCCGCCGGCCATGGCGCCGCTGGTGCTGTACCACTGGACGCAGTCCTTCTCCTCGCAGAAGGTGAGGGGGGAGCGCGGGGTGGGCTTGGGGTGGGCTTGCGGCTCGGCTGCCTGCAGGGCCCAGGTTGTGTGGCCGCGGAAGAGGGGGTACCTGGGGTAGGGCCGCGCCCGTCGGCTCCATAGGCTAGGGACGGCTGCCCGGGCAGTGCCTCTGCTGTGGTAACCCCTTGGTACCGCTGCAGGTGCGGTTGGCAATAGCTGAAAAAGCCCTCAAGTGCGAAGAACACGATGTAAACCTGCCGCTGAGCGAGCACAACGAACCGTGGTTCATGCGCTTGAATTCCTCTGGAGAAGTACCTGTCCTGATCCATGGGGAAAACATCATTTGTGAAGCAACGCAGATCATTGATTACCTGGAAGCAACCTTTGTCGATGGTAATACCATGGGTATTCTTGGTGTGAATCACAAGAATACCAGGTCGGAAGGGACCTCAATACCTGGTCCAGCCTTTCCAGCCAAAGCATGACCTAGAGACTAGATCTCCCAGCATCCTGTCCAGCCAAATCTTAAAAGTGTCCAAAATGAAATCCTTCTCTGCATACCCATAGCATGCAGCTGTGTTGGTGTCAGCTCCATACTGTTACATGTTAGTTTGCTCAGGACCAGAAAACATTTATAGTCTCTCAGGGGACTTTCCTAGTGGGAGTATGGGATAGACCTGCATCCTTTTAATAGGAAGTGAAGGCCTTCCAGCATCTTTACAAGCAGCTGTAAGTAAAAACCTGCCACTGTCCTCCTTCCCCTTGGGGAAGGATGATGAAGTCTGTAAGGGTGATGCTGCTCTGTGCAGTGGTGAGACTGCAGTGAAAAATAATGGGTTGAACAGATCTGCACAGCTGGTGTGGTGGGGGAGGTCCTGCTTTTCTGTGAGAAGAAAAGAAAGACGCTCAGTTTCAGAATAATGGGTGGAAAAATAAGAATATTTTTTGAGCCAAAATGGAGTGAAGAGTGAAAAAAGCAGGAAGAAATACTTGGAAGTGATCACATGCAGGCCTTTGAAAGTCTGTAGTGACAGAAAACAGGCTACCTCAATTTTTGAAGAAAATGCAGAACTATAATTTTTTTAGGTGTGAAGAGGCAGTGCTTTGTGTTTCAGGGGTTTAGCACTGCAATTTCTAAGGCACGAAGAAAATTTCATTGTTGGGTGAAAATTATTTGTATTTAATGTTGGTGTCCTCATCAGATGAGGAGTCTGAGCCCAGGTAGATTGAGGGCACAGTAGAACTCAGTGGTGGGCAGAATATTCTAGTCTACTGTGAGAGGGATAAAGAGTTGTGTGCCACAGTCTCTCATTCCTGAAAGTACAAAATAGATGCTGAATCTGTTTTTTCTGTTTTGAAGGCCTCTTAAATACGTGTTTATGTGGATTGCTGCATAGGAATTGGAATTATTAAAACATTTCAAAATGATGTATGTGTATACACATTTCCCTGACCTCTGATAACTGCTGAATTATGGCAGGGAACACCTGAAGCTTCCTTAGCTATGACTGTGTCATCTCTGATGGTTGGACATAACTGAAGCAACTTCAGAAATACTGCTTTTAGTCATTTACATGGTTCTTCTGTACTTCACTCTTAACTTTGTATTGCAGAGGGAGTACCGAAATTAATGCCAGAAGAAGGGAGCATGTATTATCCAAGGGTGCAGCACTATAGAGAGCTTTTAGACTCCTTGCCTATGGATGCCTACACACATGGCTGCATCCTGCACCCCGAGTTAACAGTGGACTCCATGATTCCGGCCTATGCTACCAGCAGAATTCGTAGTATGTACTGGTATAGCTCTGAATGCCTATCACTTAGTAGGTTATTGCACTGTGTTATCTTGCATCTTCAGTGCACCTTAAGCAGAATATGTGGAGCACATATATTTCCAGTTCTGGTTGCAGTTCTTGGTAACTTGTGCAAATACTTTTTATTAATACTGTAGTCTGTTATGCCTTGAAAACTGGAAAGAAGTGTCATTTTTGAGGTGTCTGTGGAATTAATTTCCCTAATGATTGAAAATGTGTCTTGTGCATAACAGAAAATGGCAGCTGTGACTGCTGTATTTTATTTTCTGATCTTGCTGTTTATGCTTATAAAGTCATTTCTAGGGGACAGCTCTACTACTGCTTACATCCAACCACTACACTGAAGGAAACACTTCTGTGTTTGTAAACTTGTAGTAAGTTTACCTGTTAAATTAAAGCAATTGCTTTTCTCTCAAAGTGGTGCAAATGCAAATTTGCCTCAGTGAAACAGAGCCTGTTTATCTAATATATAATAGGCGAATCGTCAGGCCCTTTTTGTCTGAGGAATGTACTAGTGTCAACTTGGTGCTAGGAGTAGGGAGGAAAGTGTGAAAAATTAAGTAGCATGGACTCATCAGACCAATGGAAATTGTTAAAGCACAATTTCAACTAAAATCCTGGGTGAAAATAATGCAGCAATGTAAAATCAGGATGAAGGATGAACCAGTGGTCTGGTGGAATCAATGGTGAAATGTTCTTTGACTTCCTTGGGATGAGTATTTTACCTGAGGGACTTTTAAATACATACCAGTTTCCCATGAAAAAAATATGCAAAGGGAAGATAACTGTAATTATGTTGCCAGTCCTCCTTATAACAGAGAATCTCCTGAAATAGAGTTCCAGTATGAAATCCAGTAATTTGCAGAAATGCATAGTTCAGTGGTATTCAGAAAAATCCTTGGCAAATAATCTTTCAGTTATTATAGCTATTTTTTTCCTGTTGTTCCTTTGTTTTTGTCCTGGATTTGGACAGCAGATGCTGTTCACATAGCCTGCTTTCTTAATTTGAGGCATTTTTTTAATAGCTCTTGATGTTCATAAACAATTCCTTTGCTGGTTCAAACCCAGATGGTTTAGTTTCTAGCTTTGAAAAGCTGATCTTTTTGAGAGTGTTAGATATAATAAGCCACCAGCCAGTTATAGGTTGCGTTAATGTATACCAAATACCGTTAAGTAATTAATTGCATATATAAGATTTTAGTTGTATGATTACATCCTTCAATTTCTTCATATACTGTGTTGAAAGATGGCTTTCACAGTCATGTCAGGCCAAAATAAAGAATATATAAAACAGTGAGTTTATTATTCTCTAGCAAGAATTTTTTAATCAGTTTAATTTATAAGACTTAATTGGAACTAATCTTAATTATCAAGTACAAGTGAGAGTATTCTAGGTCTTTAAGTATGGCATTTTCAAACAAAGGCCCATTTTAAGAAGACCAAAGTCTATACACATGTAGTAGAAATAAGTAAAATGATTTTAAATTTTTCACATAATTATTTCTTTAAATCGTGTAATGAATGTTTTTCTAGAACAATCTTGTACTGCATAATGAACATTTCCAAAAGGGATCACAGATTTTGGTGTCACATTTTAAGCTAACTGAAAATACCTTGGTTCCATGTTCAGTGGTATTTAGGCTTTTGCTGTGAAATTATGCATGTGACCTACACTGATGTGAAGAAGATCTCAGTATGGGCCTGTCTGCACTTTCGCAGCATGAAAAGTGTGTTAGGAACCCAGGAAATGAGGTGCAAAACCAGCAGAGACCAAAGGTGCTTTAGTAGAATTTCATGGACAGATTTTGGTAGAGAAATGGTTTTATCTGAGTAAGAGAAAAATATTAACAAGAATTTCTCATTCTTGCCTGGCAGATAATCACTTCATATGACTCATTGCAAACTGATGAGCAGGTGTGGTGAGGTCAATTTATGCAGCAGTTAAGTTTTCCAAAATACGATGCTTTTGAATCCCAAGTTGGTGGTGGTGCTTCATTGAAGTACCACTTCCCATTTCTTTGGTGTAGTATTTGTACACAAGCTATTGGTCTGTTTCTGTGGATTGCATTATGGGCACATTTGGATATCTGATGTCATTCCTTTGTTTTTCTGTGTCAGGCCAAATCAGTAACACAGAATCAGAGTTGAAGAAACTTGCAGAAGAAAATCCAGACCTTCAAGATGCCTACATAGCAAAACAGAAGCGCCTTAAAGTAAGAAAACTCTTTATATTCCCCCCTTTATTATGAGCTTGTTATTGTCAGGCTCCTTCTGTCACAATGTAAATATTTGTTTTGCCTGGCATTACCAGTAATGCCATGCAGTGGTTTAACCCTAAAAGGCATGAAGCAGACTATCCCCTAAGATCAGCTACACACTTCAGTGTGTGCTGAAGTACTGGACTGATCCCACTGATTTCACAGGTAAGTATATATCTGGTGTGGGGCTGTTGAGTACTATCCAAATGATATCCAGCTGACTGTGTGGAGAAAATAATCATGTTTTGTAAATTAAAGTTTCTCTGATGAAAGTATAGACTCTGTACAATGATTGAAACACTAACCTGTATATATGTTCAGTCTAAGCTCCTGGATCATGATAATATAAAATACCTAAAGAAAATACTGGATGAACTGGAAAAAGTTTTGGATCAGGTTGAGACTGAATTGCAGCGGCGAAATGAGGAAACACCAGGTAAGGAATTATTCTTTCTAAATCCTGTTGGTGCTTATGTTTGGGGAGACAGAATAAACTTATTGACAGTGCCATTATAGAACTGGTTTCAGTACATCCGATTTGATACCTTTAGCGTATACTGATCTAACATCACAGGAGGGATTAATGCTGTTTTGAATACTATTTTAGTTTACTGCTGCAGTGAGTTCTCACTGTCTTATGAGAGTGCTTGATCACACTTTCAGCATAGTGAGTGTAATTAGCTGCACAGTTTTGCAGTATTTTAACAGCAAAATAAGAAAAACCTTAACTGTATAATGTTCTTGATGTAGTTGCAGGCCTCAGTTCACTAGAGTGATCGCTACCTTAGTGTTTAACACAGGTTTATTACAATCTTGTGTTAATACTGTGCTGATATTTGTGGTAGATGCAGAATTAGCAATTTGGGTAAGTGTTCTAATCATTAAGCAACTGCTCTCCCCCATCCTCTTGGAAAGCAGTAGTGTTTACCTGCCACCCACCCAAATGGAAATCAAATTTTGTTTAAATGGGATTAGTCTTCTGCTTCTTCAGAGTCTGATCCAACTTCCAGTAGTGCAGATAGAAATCCTTCCTCTTGACTTCACTGGGAGCTGCATGAAGCATTAGTCAATATCACCTACATCTGCTTGAATCACTAGCTCTTTGCATTTGGCTCTATAAATAGCTGTTGTAGTAATTATCAGTTATTATCAAGACAGCAGATTTGAACCAGCAATTGATAATCTAGGTTAAATTTTCTACTGGCACAACTGTGAGTCATAGAAAATGTTCTAACTCACAAAGAATGGTATGACTTTGTTCAGCAAACTAAGTCTGTCACCATTTCCAGCAGCCCATTTGCTTTTTATGCTAAATAGCCTTTCCAAGGAGTCAACTGATACAATATCAATGAGCTTATGGAAACCGCCAGGATCACAGGCTATTACTGGCCTCTTGGAATTTTGTCTGAGGTACTCACATTTTTGAGGTTTGTGACCAATGCTTCTTCAGGTCCTGGCCAACCTCTGAGCTTCTGCTTATCTCACTACCACTCCAATCACTCATTCACTTACTGCTGCTGCCACAGCAGGCATCTTTCTTTCGCACAGGTTAGGTTCTTTGATCTTCCTTTCCATCATCTTACTTACTTAATGCACTGGATGGGCAGCCACAACTTCTCATTGTAAAAAAAGCCCATGGAAGGACAGGTGGACAAACTCTGTCTTCTCTCTGAGCTAGTGTGTTTGGTGCTGGTCAGTCATCTGATCCGTTTATTTTTGACTTAAAAGTCTCCAACAAATGAATAGTGTTTGAGTGAGTGCCATAGAGCTGAGTGGGACCAGCAAGATGATGAATTCTTCAGGCAAGTGGTAGCTTTTTAATAAAAGCTAACCTGCCAGCTTCCTTTCCACTCCTGTTTAATTTAATCCAGATTTGAGAAATGTAGTTGAGGAAAATAAGTGTTTACTGTGGGTTTTAATTTTTGGACCTAAAATGCATCTCTTTTTCCCTCAACAAATGTAGGCCAGGCTGATGAGCCTAGGACTTTAGAATATTGTGTGAAGAATATACAGGGATTAGGGAAATGTTCATTGATTATAGCCTTATTTTAGCTGAAGTGTTGATGGTGTTTATTAGACAGCATTTTAAAATAGCACTAAACTAAGTGCTGGCACATGGGGGCTTCTTTGTGGCTTGTATTCCATTAGCTCCTAATTCTTTATGTTTTATCTCTGCTTAGAGGATGGAAATCAGCCTTGGCTCTGTGGTGATTTCTTCAGTCTGGCAGATGTATCACTTGCTGTCACATTACATCGCCTGAAGTTTCTGGGATTAGCAAGAAGAAACTGGGGAAATGGAAGGCGGCCGAACTTGGAAGCCTACTACGAGCGTGTCCTGAAGAGAAAAGCATTTTGCAAAGTTTTAGGACACGTCAACAATATATTAATCTCAGCTGTGCTGCCAACAGCGTTCCGTGTGGCCAAGAAAAGAGCTCCCAGGGTTCTCGGCACCACCCTGCTGGTCAGCATGCTGGCGGGAATGGGTTATCTTGCTTTCATGTGTCTCCGGAAGAGGTTTACCAATGTGATACTGCCATTTAGAACCAGGCAAAGTTACTTTTAGATCCATCTGCCCCTGGTGGTGAGTGGAGGGCATCTCTACCCGCCCCTGGAAAACTTCCCCAATGAAATATAAACATAGAAGAAAGATTATGTCTGTGAATTAGAACATTGTCACACAGTAATCATCTCCTGCTATTGTAGAATTGGACTGGCAATGCTGAGATATTTGGACAACAAAGGAAAGAAGAGACTTTCTCTTCAGACAAGGACCTGTAAGGGCTGTGACAGTGCTTTGTTAAAGTGGTATTGTCTCTTTTATGCAGTAGCTGACCTAATTATAATGCTTTTATTTAATAGATATGCAGCAATGTGACAGCTTTTCAGTGCAGGTGCAATGCATTACTGTGCAGAAACCAGCATTGTTGAAATACAGAAAATAGTACTTACTCTTAAGTAGCTGGAGTAGGATTTAAGTGGATCATAGGCTCTATGCCTGGTGTGTGCTGGAGTGAGTGTCTCTGTACTGATGAATGTCTACTGATTTGCAGCTGGACCTTCAGGAATGTTTAAGAAGTAGTGTTGTGGAGCCACTTTTGTCACTGTACATTCATGCACCAGTGCAGGAAGAGACCTGAAACGCATATTATAGAATTGTAGAATACCAAGTTGGAAGGTATCTCAAGGATCATCTGGCTTTCTTGGCAAAAGCAGAAGATGGCCCAGCACTCTGTCCAGCTGAATCTTAAAGTGTCCAGTGTTGGGGAATCCAACACTTCCTGGGGAGATTATTCCAATGACTGTTCTCATTGTGAAAAATTTTCCTCTTGTGTCCAGTCAGAATCTCCCTAGGGGTAACTTGTACCCATTACCCCTAATTTTTATTGTATGACTCCTTCTAAAAAGGGAGTCTCCATCTCTGTAGCCACCCTTTAAATACTCACATACAGTGATAAGGTCTCTCCTGAGCCGCCTTTTCTCCAGCCTGAACAAGCCCAGCTCTCTCAAACTTTCCTCATACAACGGCCTTCCCAGTCCTTTGATCATCATTGCAGCCATTCTCTCCGTCTTGTCCACATCTTTTTTGTATTGCAGGAACATGGTATTCCAGGTGTGACTTGAAGCACTGAGTGGGACAGCAACATCTTTATCTCTACTGGGGATACCCTTGTTGATGTAACCCAGCATCCTGTTGACTTTCTTTGCTGCAGCTGCACATGGTTCACTCATATTGAGCTTGCTGTCCATCAGGATCCTCAGGTCTCTTTCCACAGAGCTACTCCCCAGATGGATAGATTCCAGCCTGTGCTGCACTCTTAGAGACTGTGTTTACCAGGGGGCAAGACTTTACACTTGTCATTGTTGAAATTCAAAAGGTTCTTGTCAGCCCACTCTTCGTGCTTATCCAGTTCTTCTTGCAGGGTAGCTCTTCCTTCCACAGTGTCCACTTCCTCACTCAGTTTGGTACCATTGGCAAACTTAATAATGGTACATTTGATCCCATCATCTGGATAACTTATGAAGACACTGAACAGTGTTGGGCCCAGTATTGATCCCTGAGGGACCCCACTAGTGACAAGTGCCAGTCTGAAAAGGAGCTCTTTGCTACCACCCTCAGGGTGTGATCAGCTAGCTCCCCCCCCACTGCACAGACCACTTGTCAAGACAATAATATAACAGTTTCTCTAGGAGGCTTTGGGAAACCATATTGAAAGCCTTGGAGAAGTCCAGGTAGGCAGAGTCCACAGTTCAGTTTGCCCCTGTTGAATTCATGCTGGCTTTTCCCAGTTGTGTGCTTGGTTTGACTTGTGATAGCCTACAGGAGGATTTGTTCCATACTCTTCCCAGGGATTTATGTAAGATTGATGGACCTGTAATTTCCAATAGTTATTTGTCCACTTCTCCATCTCTAGTATGTCTTCTGGTTTTGAGCAGACATCAGTGATTTGTGGACCACGAGTGAGATTCTCCAGAGACATCAGCAGTCAACAGATGCTAGGCTTCTGCTGAAATACAAGTGGGAGTGAAAAACTTGAAACTTGTCTTTTGAAAGCTTTTTGGGTAGGCTTTGGCTCAGCCAGGTACCCAGCTCAGCTGCGAGCCCTTACTGAGTCAACCCAAACTATCTATTTCGGTGCACGTTTACTGCTTTCATTGAGGGTGGCTTGATAGAGTTGCCTGCCTATCAGTGTCCCATGTACCCTTTCTTTCCACTTCGAGCACTAGATACAATCTTGCACACTACTTGGCTATGTTAGCAATGCCACATGCCTCTATAAAATGTTTGCCCACAATGTGCCACAGCCAACTAGAAAATGTATGCACAACAGTGCATTTTGTAGTAGTTTAAAATAGTTCACTACCTTTCAGTCTGGTTAGGTAGCCTAGACAGAAGGTGGAACTGTAGTTTAGCAATCTGTTTACTTATGCAGAGGTGTCATATTGGTGGTAAGTGAAAATATATGTCAGTTTGGAGACAGATTATATGTACTGCAGATTTTTCACAAAGCTGCACTCTTGCAGCACATAGGAAAGGTGTAGAAAAACACTTTGATTACCTCCCATTATTCAGCAAATGCTGGGAGTTTTATTAGGTTTGAAATGATCTCCCAGTTCAATGAGAAGTGCATAGTTACCTGGCATAGACTTTGAAACATTTTGCAGCAAGAAATCAGTTGGGAAGGGCTGAAAATTCTCCTGACAGTTTAGTAAGATTTTTATATTCTTGATGAATGTCTGAAAGCCTCAGAATTTTGTTTACAAGCTGTAGATAACTGCAACAAGCAAAACTTAGCTTTAGATAGCCTAAGAACATTTTAGATCCAGTGCTGGTGTCATTGGTCTTTCTGCACACAGCAGAAAGAAGATCCTCTCTCAAGTTTGCTGGAGAGAACTGAGGCAGTTTCTGCCTGGGCAGTCTCACCATCTAGCATATATCAAAATGGATAAAATTGTTGAATACTTCTACTCATAATTTAATATTGTGCTAGTTGTCTAGCAAAAGAAGACCTAAATCTCATTGCTCCTTTTCAGTAACAAAAAACATCTTACCTAAGAAACAATGCTTTATTTCATTTGTTAAAAGGAGAGTTTTATATAACTCTATTTCATGACCCAGTTGTCCTCAAGAACTTGTTGAATTAAATATGCTCTATTTATAAAAGCTTTAGAGTAAGCTTAATCTATTAATGTGCCGGCAGCTTCAACTGAGTTTGTTGTTTGTGTATTGCAGTTCATCTGCATTTACTTGTAACAAGCAAATTCCACTAAGTTTGACACAGAGTAAGGCCTGTAACTTAATGCTTCCCTGGCATGTGTTCCTGTCAGGCCATCTGTAGAACATAATCTGATCAAGTCAGGGTAAAATTCAATATATATGATTTAGCTTTCTTTAGAATTGATTTATGTTTTACTTTTTCTTCCTCTTTATTTTAATACATTAATTATAAATAAGAATACTTATATTCCCAGAGGTGTGCCGGTTTAATTCACACTAACAGTCCAGTGGGCTGTGATACAAATTATCAACGTTTAACAGTTCTACTTCCCCCAGAGCTCCGTGATCTCTGCCAGGAGCTGCAGATACTTTTGGGAAGCAGTGAAATGACCACTAGATGTCAGTAGTCCTCCAGGGCTACGTTTTGGCATGCGTCTGAGATGTGCAGGAAAACGCTAGTTTTCACAAAGATAATGTGATCTCAGTGTAAGATGGATGTGAGCATCCTCTTCAGACTGGTAGTCTCTCGAGAGCTCTTGAAACCACTGCTTTGGTCTATCACAGGTTGGTTCTCTGATGCCTGTCAATTATACTAGTGTGTAGTTTCGACACTGGATAAATAAGAGGGCAAAGTTGAAATAATATTTCACATTAAAATGAATGTAACTGAACAGCAATTAAACTTGTCTGCAGGAATGAATGTGGATAAAACTTGTACTGTGGGGAAGTTTGGATCTCTGGTTTAATTCGTATTTGTTACTTCAACTATTTGAAGCCTCCTTATTTTCACTGCCCTGAAGTACTCTGTGCAACATCGATTTCTGTACAGGTGGCAGGAAAAGGCTTATCCATGATTAAATTCCTCAAAATAGGATGAGATTTAGAAGCACATGTGCTGTATTTCGCTCTTTGCACAGGATAGCTTTTGTGTGGTGCTTGTAAAGTTTCTTTTCAGCCTGCCTTATTTTCCTTGCTGTGGTACCTCTCTTTACTATTTATATTGGATACACAAGCCATCTTCTGGTTTTCATTACCTGTTTGTTCTCATATCATGCATCAGATGTATTTCATATCTTTTTATGTGGGACCTGCAAAATAAACACTGATTCAAGACCACTTTCTAGACTGGTTTATGTCTTCTGTATCAGTAAAACAAAGTACATTTGAAGATCACACAGTGTTGCTGAAAGGAATCTGATTCTGTTCAAGGAGAAAAAGCTCTGCTGTTTCGGTTGAAAAGGTGGTCAGCAGGTTACCTTGCATGTATTTTGGAACAACAGTTAAAATGATGGTTTTCTTTGGTTGTCTGTCTGAGCTGTATATGCATGAGGCTCAACAGAAGACATTTAATAATGCAAAAAACCCCAAACAACCACATTTAAAGAAGGAAGGCAAGCACTTCTTGTGTTTTCAATTAATTCTTACTAAAGAAACCCCCCCCTTCTCTTCTGAATGTGACCCCAGTTCTTGACTTACATTGTAGAGCTGCAGAAGCTGGGGCTCCTTACTGTCAGGTGCGTGACAAGCATGTAAGCTGTGCCCACACTGATGTTATCCTTAAAGGGATGAAGCGGTGTTTCCTGACCTGTGTTAGTGTCTCCATAAACGTTTAGTTTGGGGCTTTTTTTGGCCTTGCACTGTAGCAGTCTGCATTGGACCTGCTTTCTTGTAAGCAGAAGAACAGACAACAGTACTTGAGGCTTGCATGCAGCTCCTCTTGCTATTTGAAAGTTGTGGGAGCTGCTAGGATCAGGTAGACAGCTGGTCAGGTTTGAGTTCAGGGAGATTACAACCCCTGTGGTCTGTGACCAACCTAGAGGTATCCTTGATGTTAGCATTAATCGGAAGTATACACAGAGCCATTGCTGTGAAAGGCTTATGTCTAAACAGGGAAGAGGAGCAAGAGTGAATGGGAAGCTAAGTACAGCAAG